ATGGCTCCTTAATTCAAGTTGTGACAAGGAAAGTCAAAATCGAATATGGACTCTTCAAAGAGCAGGATTCGAAGAGGCACCCCTTGGGTCAAAACACTTTTGCAAAGATCTCGTGCCTCTGATTTCGCTGAAGACTCAACGACTCTTTTCTCTCATATAAGAAGGCTGATACTTTCAAGAAAAAGACTTGCACAACTACATATAATGTATTCAAAGTCCGTCTACTTCTTAGTTCAAACACTATAATCTTTAGTTATTAGTGTCTCAAAAGATAGAAAGATCTAGAATACAAAAGAGAGTTGTGCCAATTACTCAGAACTCAAGGTGTGATATTGTTCGTTGGTGGTGAACGCGTTAAACCATCTGTGTTGTAACATTTTCAAAGATCTTAAGGGAACCCTTATGACCCAGGGGAAACTGGATGTAAGTACCACAACGGTACCGAACCAGTATAAATAGTTGTGTGTTATTTACTCTTCTTTACTGCTTACTTTTATTCTNCCCCTCCCTCTTGTACGTTCATTTTATTCCTAAATAAGTATTTTTTAATATCAAAAAAATTAAATCAAGAGCAATTAAAACTTCAGGACACTGTCTTAAAGATTTAAAGAGTGTTGTGAATATTACAGATTTTCTCCTTTTGAGGTTGCTTATAATATCTTCAACTTTTGGTGTCTTTGAATATCTGTATACAGAGGCGTATTCATGATTTCAAAAGAATGAATGCACCACTACCTTTAAGATAGATGCTTGGTCGGATTATACGATGACAACAAGTTAATGAACGAACTATAATTAATACTATTATCGCAAAAATAATTATTTATTTCACAATTGTCCTCGACGAATTTTCATATTTAAAAACGATCAATTATAGTAACATCATTAAATACCTTACGTTCTATATAGTGAAAATATTCAAGAAGAAAAAGTTGTGGAAAATTGTTATTCCATTTTTCTCTCTGTGTCAATAACTCTGTACAGTGTTCTCTATATATACAGTGTCATGTATCTGGCGTGTATTACTGTAGGATCCTTTCTATCCTAACAAACTGTATAACTGAATAGTAAAGATAAACACAAAGAATTTTATTTATAGGTATCCACACTATTCTAAACTCCTTCTAGAAGAGGGACGTTAGCTTTATCTTGACCGTAGATCTGAGGCGTTGAGTGCGCGCCATGTGTTCATTCAATAAGACCAAGATTTTAACATTTTGGTCATCTCTCTTAGACATAACTCAAACACAATCCATAGAATCTAAGTCTCTTCTCCTCCACCTTCTTCCCTATTTATTGTACCATCAGGAAAGAGATTATTTCCAGTAACACCCCCCCCTCAAGTGGGAGGCAAGAGCTCGGACTCCCAATTTGTAAAGAAGAGACTGATGTAATGGACCCGCAAGAGCTTTCGTGAACAAATCCGCGAGTTGAGACGAATATGGAATAAAAGACAGAGAAATTAAGCCTTCAAGCAGTTTTTCACGAACAAAGTGACAGTCAAGCTCGATGTGCTTGGTCCGTTCGTGAAAAACTGGGTTCTTTGCAATATGAATCGCCGATTGTTTGTCGCAATGGAGAGGAACTGGTAAAAGAGGAGAAGCATCAATATCATGAAGAAGACATACTAGCCATGTAATGTTCGCCACCAGTCGTCTCATAGAACGGTATTCCGCTTCCGCTGAAGAGAGGGCAACAACCGACTATTTTTTCGACTTCCAAGAAATGGGGCAACCTCCCAAACTAAGAAAAAATCCGCTCACCGATCTGCAAGTATCAGCACAAGATGCCCAATCAGAGTCGCAAAAGGCCAAGATCGGTAAGGAAGATCCTGGAGACATGAACAAACCAAGGCCAGGATCCCCACTGATGTATTTGAGAGTACTTAAAGCCGCTTGAAAATGGCTAGTGTGTGGAGATTGTATGTATTGACTCAAAGTCTGAATGGCATAAGAAAGATCGGGTCTCGTATTGGTCAAAAATTGAGCTTTCCAAGTAATCGTCGGTAAATCATGGGATCCGGCAAAGGTGCACCCTTTGTGGAATTGAGTTTAAAAGTAGGTTCAAGAGGCGTGGAGACTGACCGACAACCTATGAAGTTGAATTCTTCAAGCAACTCAAGGGAAAATTTGTGTTGGGTTACAACCAGTCCTCATCCTTTCGGTATTAATTCCATACCCAAAAAATAGTGAGCCTCTCCTAAATCCTTAATTTTGAATTCGGCATCCAAAAATTGCTTAATTTCACTAACTTCTTGTGTTTTGTTACCAGTGATGAGAATGTCATCAACATACACTGCAATGAGTGTAATCAAATCCCAGTCTTTTTGAAGAACAAGGAGTAATCATTTAACGAGTAAGTGAATCCCCTAGTTGCGAGTGCGGAGGACAAATGAGCATACCATTGGCATGAGACCTGCTTTAAGCCATATAAGGATTTTCGGAGTCGACACACATGAGAGGGAGAAGGAGGAACTAGACCTGGAGGAAACCTCATATAGACTTCTTCGTGCAAGTCATCATGCAAGAATGCGTTGTTAACATCAAGTTGGTAAATCTTCCAATCTTTCTTAACTGCCAAAGCTAAGATGCATCGTATAGTCATCATTTTTACAACATGAGAAAAAGTCTCTGCATAGTCAATACCCTCACGTTATGTATCCCCTCTGATTACCAACCGTGCTTTCAGCCTTTTCAAAGATCCATCTGACTTCAATTTTACTTTGTAAACCCACTTGCAAGTTAAAGGTATCTTGCCTTTTGGAAGCTGAACTATGTCCCATGTTTTGTTGGAATTCAGTGCCTCAAAATCTTTATCCATGACAACTTTCCACCCAGGGACTTGGTAGGGAGATTTAAGTTGAAGAGCTTGAGAAGGAAATCTGTTAATCAAATGAATAGCTGTAAGTAAACACCCCTCCCCCCTCCCCCCCCCCAGTATTTCTTAGG